GAGAAATCAACTGATGATTATGTAAGATTGATCTTTAGAAATAAACCGCTAGAGTTCTAGAGGGATTGAGCTCAGATCTCAACAGCATGCACTCCCACCCTCCCCTCAGAAGGGGAGTGTGGGCCCACACGCCAAAGCAGATTGGTGTGTGGGAGTGCACACCAATCTGCAGCAGGGTAGATTCATTGCTGATTGGTGTGTGCTCCCACATGCCAATTGGCTTTGGCATGCAGGCCTGCACTCCATCAACTTCCCTGTCTAAATGAATGTGTATGGAAGTATACAGATTCATTGAGCCCCTGGGCTATATCATAGGACCCAGGCCTGGGTCCTATGGGATGGCCCAGGGGCTTGAGACCATTCAAAGAAAAGATTTGTCCTGGGAGGAACCCCTCCCAGCCTCAAGACCTCAACTTGAGATTGTACATAGCTCAAGGCTTAGAGGAACCCCTCTTGGCCTTGAGAACTTGTACAGTCTCAAGGCCAAGAGGAATCCCTCTTGGCCTGAGACTTTACACTATCTAGGTTGAAAAAGATGTACCTTGTTGACCAGAATGGATGGAAGCTCTGACCAGGATTTTCCAAAAGAAATTTGCAGATTGGTGTGCACTCCCACATGCCACTCTGCTTTGGTGTGCATGCCCATACTCCCCTCAGAGAGAGGAGTGTGGGAGTGCATCCAAAATGGCGAGGAGTGTGATTATTGCTCCCCATATATTAATAAACCATGAATGATCAAAATATGTATATAAATTAAGATTACACCAAAAAGTGGAGGAAATGACATCATCTCTCTCTTGGTGAATCAGTACAGAGAGAGATGATTAATTTAATCCTCATTGATGTTCATCCCTCTAATTAAATGATACACTTAAGACAGAGATGAATTTTTTTATTTTAGTACACATGTAAAATCTCTCTAATAAAGGAATTTTGATAGAGAGGGAAATAATAGGGGGTATCAAATATAACCAAATCCACCATGATTTAATTGACTGGTTTGAGAAAATCCACCCTTTTTTAAACATGTTAGTTCTTTATTTAGCCCCTTTTGGGCACATTTATGCAAAAAAAAATTTGGGAAAAGTGACTGGTTTCTAATGGTGGATTTCCTATATTTGATACCCCCTAATAAGTTATTCCGTTGAATTACTTAGTATAAAAATAAGACATACAATGGATAAAAAATTTAATAATAATGAGGGCGACTTGAAATCTGGCGTAAGTGGTGAGATGTTGTCTTAGGAAAGTTCTTAACCATTATACCATGGTACTTGTATTTATACATTAATGTTGTAGAAACATGGAATGCTGTCTCAGTATCTGACAAAACTCCTTGATAACATGTTAGCCAGCAAAAACTGATTCATTTTATTTTCTTCCATATATATATTTTTCTTTTCTATATCTTTTTCATAGATTTTGCCTCTTGTTTGTCCTTTGAAATTCATATTTAACTTTGCACTCTCTTTGCTCCTCTGTCATGCAGGTGTGCAATATTGTTTCTTCTCTATTTTATCATACTCTTGTAATCCAAAATAGGGGGTATCAAATATAGGAAATCCACCATTAGAAACCAGTCACTTTTCTGAAAACATGTTTTTGCTTCAATGAGCCCCCAAAGGTGTTAAATAAGCAACCAGAATGTTTAAAAAAAGGGTGGATTTTTTCAAACCAGTCAATTAAATATGGGGTATTGGTTTATATTTGATACCCCCTAATATCATATTTTTCTATAAAAGCTCATGTTGTGTTGTTTCTTAATCTTTCTCTACTTTTTCTCTTAAATTTTCAGGTGTGTGGTAGAATCATAAGGTATTGTCATTGTCAAGAAGAAAACTTGGATCATTCATTATCTCTTACCAAGCTAGCTTGGTTGTGGGATATATATGTATTTTACATTCTTTTATTTCATTTATTTTCTTTCTCTAAGCAAATAAAAAGACATGCTTAACCACATTTTAAAGAAACAGACTAATTTTGTTGCTTGTACAGTGGGTGGACCATTATTTTTGGCTGCTTGTTTTGGGCTCTACAGCTTCAAAGCACAAACTTCATGTCACAAGACTTGGTGAATTGGTGCAGAATAGGTCACAAAGAATGAATATGAAAAAATTAAAACAAAAAACAAAGTTTCAAAATTTGTGAAAAATAAAAAATAAAAACGTTTTTTTCCAAAAGCTTTGTTATTGATTTTGGGGGAGTGGGAGTCCTGAGAGAAAGAAAGAGTGGAACATGACAAGAATGATTGTAAATGAAAAAAATTGGAACCAACAAAGGTTGAGCCAGGTTGGTTGTTCAGATTGGAGTCAAAACAGTAAATTCTAGTGCTTTTCCCCAACATGTGCTGGTGAATGTGCTACTCAACAGTTGTTTGAAACCACCTGGTGACCATTTTCTACAAACTTTTCATTTATAATCATTCTTCCCATGTTCTATTCTTTCTTTCTTCCAGCCCTCCCACTCCCCCAAAATGAATATCAAAGCTTTTGGAAAAAAATATTTTTATTTTTTATTTTTCACAGATTTTGAAACTTTGTTTTTTGTTTTTATTTTTTCATATTCATTCTTTGGGACCTATTCTGCACCACTTCACCAATTCTTGTGACTTCAAGTTTGTGCTTTGAAGCTCTGGAATCCAAAACAAGCAGCCAAAAATAACGGTCCACCCACTGTACGTCCTTCCAAATTTATCTTTAACTTTCCGCTTGCTTTGCTTGTCTGTTGTGCAGGTTCAGGTGTCCTAGTTGTTAAGAAGAACAACTTGACTCATTCATTATCTTTTATCAGGTCTTGTTTGTTGTACAGAATCACTCTGATTTTTACAGCCAAGTGCTACTAGGAGTGATGAGTTTTCTAGGAGGGTGTTTAACTTCCTTTGCTTCAGTTGTGGTTTCCCGATTAGAAATATGAGGTGGGGGTCTAGTTGAAGAGTACAAAGCGGATGATGAAAGTGAGGTGTTGAATTTTTGTATGTTTGTGGGTTGAGGCCATCATGTTTGATTCCAGTTGAGATGATACTGGATATGTAGACATGATCGCTGGCTTGGATGTGATTTACACCCTCCAGGCCACCCAAGTCCCCCAAGCCCCCAACAAAATAGGGACATGGCTGGGCAAACCAAGTACATCAATTTTTACCAGCATCACATCTGACACTCCCAGGTGGACATTGGGCAGGTGTGAGTGTTGGAGAATAATTCAGATTGTTAAATGAATATTCAAGTTGGTGTGGAGTCCCGCACTCAACTGGAAGAAAAATTTCAGTGTCAAACTTCTTTGATATATTCCGTTTCTTAATTACTTTTCAACAAATGTCCATAACTGTGATTGAAGTCCAAAAAACCAACTCCAGTGGAGGGCCGCTACGCTAAGCTTTTGGCCCAAAAAGGGTAGTGTAGCGGCACTTTTTTTGCATCAAAAAACTGTAGTGGTAGCTTATTTTTACATCAAAAAACTGTAGTGTTAGCTTATTTTTAGCGGTTTTTTGCTACACTGCGCTACAGCGCTTTTAGCGGCCAAAGCAGCCAAAAACCCGCTAAAAATTGCTGTAGCGCAGCGTAGTGGGCCCTTTTTTGTGGCCACACGCGTAGCGTTAGCGCGTCGTGGGGGAATTCCGCTATGCTTAACAAGTTAACGCTACAGTCAAACCTGTCTAAGGGCATACCCCTTGGGAGAAGAGTTTTTGTATGCCTTTAGACAGGTTATGCCCTTAGAAGAATTGAATTTGCAGTAAAATCCAAATTTGGGAGAAGCTATACACTATGTCATTATGCAGGTTATGCACTTAGAAGGGTATGCCCTTAGACAGGTTTGACTGTAACAGGAATTCCACTGTGTTACGCTACACTAACCACTACGGTTAGGGTAGCGGCCCACCGCTGCCGACTCTCAATTAGATTTCTAAGATTCAGGAGGAGCTAGGAAAAAACACAGGTACCAGAGGTCCTTGGGATTTTTCTATCAGATTGGCTTTGTGATGTCTCTTTCTCTTCTTTTTTTGGATTGTATTGACTCTTCCCTTTCTTATCAGGCTTGTTTGATCATTATCCTATTTTATCCCTTTTATAATCTTCCAAAGAATCTTTTTGAGTTGAAATAAGGATCAGAATTATAAGAAGGTACAATTTTTCACTTGTTTCAACTCGATAGATGTCTCTCATTTCTTATTAACCTCCTCGCTATTGCTTATTGATTGTTCAATCTCTTTACTTTATCTTATTCTTGTTTTTCTTTAGTGTTAACTACTATTAGTATTTAAGATTGTGTGCTGCTGCCTGCAATAAAGTTATAAGATCTCAAATTCTTACAGTGAGGTACCCCTACGTAGGACCAATTTGCCATCTTTGCCAAAATCTAGATTTCTTATTAGCAAATTGTAGGGTGTTTTCTCAGAACAAAACACCATGCAGATAAGCTCCAGAAAGAACAGAGACCATGAAAAAAAGAAAAATTGAATATTGTTTTCACTTTCAATTCAGAAAGATGAGTTCAGGAAGACTCAAACTTGATTGATAGCCCCAGGTTGATGGGAACTCCTGTTGTGTCTTACAATGCTTCTTGAATTTCAAGACAAGAGAATATGTATAGGTATTGTATAAAAGAATGAAAAAGCCTTGAAAACTTTGTGTATGTCATGTGTATCAGTATATGTATCTCTAGGTAATATGACTCCTCTGAATCCAGATTTTGTTTATCATAAATATGTATCTGTAGAGTATCTAGCTGCCAGATTTGACGAGACAAGATATATAATTACATAGATAGATAAAAAAAATTCAGCTATTCCATGGTGTTTTTCTCTTTTTCTTTGGATTCTCCTTCTCTTTTTTGATGGAATTGAACAACACATATATGAATATGTATAAAAAGAGATGTGAAGCTTTGTTTGAATTAATACAAGGAAAGAAAGAAAATCAAGAACGAAGTAATTCTCGAACCAAAACAAGAGCTACAATGCACAAGGAAGGAAGATAAAGATAAACGCAGATGAGGTAGATGGGGGGGGGGGCGGGGGTGAGCACGCAGAAGGAGATGGGTTCGAAGCAAAAAGGGGGTAATGCAGCCTCGATCACTTGCGCCACTGTTGTTTCCCGGGGCAGATCTTAGATGGGCTTGCGGAAACAGGCAAGTAATGTAGTCCTTTGCCGATCACGTAATCAGAGGACCTGTTAGGGGTCAAGGTATGTTGGAAGAATTCATCGATGATTGGGAATTGAAGCACGTTCATCTGAATTCGCAACAAACGAAGATTTCAGAGAAGGATCATTGATTTGAAAAATGTACAAAGAGGTTCAAAAAAGAAAATTAGACGGACCTTTGGCGTGATGATGATCACCGTTTGGCACGGAATCTCGAGCCAATCGGTCTTCTCAAAGGTCAAAGGTTCGGAGGCAATCAAGACGATTCTCTCTCTCTTGTCGCACTTTTTCTGTAAAACAGGCAGATGGTTTAGGGAATTTTGAGGCTCAGTAGGAGAAGGAAGTAAGCGAGACGACGGACGGACCATTCGATATTGGGCAGCTTCAAGAGGGCCATGACACTCCTCGGAGTTGATGGCAGGTCCACCGTCGAGAGCACTAGCAGCTTCGAAGGAGGTACCGGTAGAGAAGTAGAGACTGGCGGCCTCGTCGGTTGAGCTGTTGACGTATCGAGTCGCAACCACGCTCTGGCCATCGGTGACTGCAAAGTTCAATAGCGATGGCTCACTGATCCCCGCTTGAATGCATAGCTCTCGGATCCGCTTGATCGTCTGGAGCATCGTCTCTTTCAGTAAGGTGTACGGAAACGAGACCGATTTCGGATCGGCTACCTGTGCATTTAATTAACAACAACACATATCTATCAGTTTCTAATACTTTTGGTTCACTTTATCGTTGTCGACGTTACTGACCTTGCTCAATTCATTTAAGAATAAGGCGAAGGCCCATTCCGAATCGGTGTTTCCTAGGGAAACGAATTCCAAATCAAAAGATCAAATTGATGCTTTTTATTTTGAATTGGAGCAAGACTTCTTCAGACTGCTGACCCTGAGGAAAGTGAAAGAATTCGTCGAACAATCCACTTTGGAGCTCCCGTTTGAAGTTTTTGAAACCGGCGATATGACCTGGAATATTAGAACAAGCACTTTCCCACAAAATCAGTCGATAAAATCTGGAGTAGATGCGCGGTTGACTGGGACGTACCGTTGTGCATCCATAGCAATGAGCCATATATCTGTATAAATTAGAGAAATGAGATAGTCATTGAGAAGGTTCATTTAGATTCAAGTTATCGGTTCGGGTTTACCCAAGGATGACAGTTCTCTTCACTCAGTGCTCCCGAAGTACTTGCTCTGACGTGGGCACTGAATAAAACACAATTCCGATCAGGAGACGTCTATCAGAACTGACGACGGAATTACAGAAACATCGAAATTGAAACTGAAAATAGCTATTTGAGATGTTTGAGCTTACAAGACGAGGGGAGAACAGATCTTTTCAGCCAGACGATGGAGATTTCGATTTGCTATTGTAGAGATAAAATGAGATCGGTCAAGGGTGAGGTTCAAAAATAGGAGGTGTTATGAGTATAGGAGGAGAGTGGGGACTGACACCAGGCAGGAGTGATGGCTTGAAAGACGCAAGGTGTTGAGTTTTCGACATCGGGGTCGTACCAGCCTACAAAATTCGATTTCCGATGATCAGTACCAATGATCTTGTCATGGGTCCAAGGGATCTGCTAATTACCTACTCCGAACCCATCCGCATTGACCGGTCTGGCATCTGGGAGGATACGACACAGAAGATTTAGTGACACGAAATCGAAATCGAGCGGTTTCGAATTGTTTTTTTCCCCTAGTTTTTGTGAAAGTGATATTAACCTAATCGTAATCTGCTGTCAAAGGCTTGGTTGATAATCGAGCTAAAAATGGAAATTGCGGAGAGAGAGAGAGATCAAGGTGTGGATTATTAGTAACTTGATATAAGAAGTCAGTTTATTTATCTGGGATACATGAGATACTCAACTGGGATGGTTTGGTGATCAGATGGGCAAGGACGATCGGCTCGCCCTTGAAGATGAGAAGCCTGATAAGATCTAATTTCAGCTTGGGTGTGTGTGTGTGTGTGGTAAATTCAGTTGGATGGTCTGCTAACCTGCACATGTACGAGCCAGCTGAATGCTATATCTCTTCGATTGATTCTCTCGATGGGTTCCTTGGTATTATGTATCCTCTCTTTGATGATGCTTGGTTGGTGGTTGGTTTTTAGTCTCACCCAGCTTAGTAGGAGCACCCAGCCTAGGGTGAATCCGGCTGGACCGGGGCCACTCCGACCGCCGACCGGGCTCCGATCACCCCACAGATCGGCTGCTGACATCCCCCCGGGGGTCCCGGAATTTCCTAGGGAGTTGACAACGGATTCATTGGAAACACATTGCTTGATCCGTTGCAAGATCTCATCTGCGATTGCATGCAGCATGTCTTGGCTTACTGTGACAGTTGTTGCACTCATGAGGAAAGAATCCGTGTGGGATCATTTGATTCAAAAATGAGAGTCACAGATAGCCATGGCTCTCATAATCTATTGAACTGGATGCGCACCTGATGTACGAGATAAGGGACTTTTGAAGAATGAATTTCCAAGTATAGCTACATATTACTTGATAATAGCATCAAACGAGGGCACTTCGATAGGATGTAGTTTTTTTTTGAGGGGGGAGGGGGGAGTTTTCAGGTGTAGTGGTTGAAATCCTTAGTGTTCATTGCTTCTCCCCGGCTCCTCCTCTTGTGTTCCTCATACTCCAATTGTGGAGTTTGCTCACCCGTACAACACCCCCCCTCAAACTCCACACCAGTGCCTACAACTATGAGAATGATAGAGACAAATATAAAAGAATCAAGGAAATGTGAAAAATATGAAAGTGATAAGAAAAATAGAACACAGTCAATGAAAAGAAAGATAAAAATGAACCAAATCAAGAATAATAAGGCAGGAGATAAAAACTTGGAAAAAATCAATGTTTAAAGAGAATCAACAAGAAAATAATAAAATAATAAAAGCAGTCATATGAGAGTTGTTTTTTTTTTTTTTTTTTTTTTTGGAATATTTTATTTAAAGAAATCGAGTGGAGATTAGACCGGAGAGATTTAGTGAAAAAATCGGCAATATTGGAAGAAGTGGAAACCCATTCAAGCTTGATATTGTGTTCACGGACGGCGTCATTGACAAAAAAGAAATTACGTTCCAGACTCTTCATGCGACCTTTTGATGCATTGTCGTCCGAGACCAGTACGGCCACCCTGTTGCCGCATTTAAGGACTAGTGGTGAATTCACGCCGAGAGATTTGATTATTGGGATGAGAAATAGAAGAAAATCAACGGAAGATCCTAAAGAAATAAATTCCGCCGCACAGGTCGATGTTGCCACAACCTTCTGGCGCCTGGATCCCCATGCAACTGGACTGCCTAGAAAGGTGATGATGAAACCGGATGTTGATCGTTGGAATTCGCCTCCCCAATTGGCGTCGGACCACGTTACTAATGAATCATCCTTGGCTTCTAGTTTCAAAAGTTTTTCCTTGTGTGTTGCGAGATACTGGATGAGATGAGATAATGCCGCCCAATGTGTCTCATTTGGATTTGAACTGAAACGCGCCAAATAGTTGACCGCATAGCTGATATCCGGGCGGGTGCCGAGTGCTAAGTAATTCAAGGATCCGATGAACGATTGATAAAGAGTCGGAGATACGGGGTCACCCCAATTTGTCACCAGAGTGTCCCCCAGTAATGGTGTGTGGGTCGGAATGATTTGTTGTTGAATTTGGTCTTGAAATTTCTTGATGGTCTGGTCGAGGAGAAGTTGTTGACTGAGGAATATAGCGTCGTCTGAGTATTCCAATTTGAGCCCAACTAGTTTTTCAGGCTTTTCATCCCATTTAACTCGTAAGCTTGCCTCAAGATTCTCACGTAGTTGATCCAAAGCTGCCGTGTCGTTGCTGAAGACGATCCCATCATCCACATGAATCCATATTATGATGATTGACTCGCCTTTGCGGTAGCGGTATAAGCATTCTTCGACCTCGTCACAATCAAATCCCCAGCCGTGCAAAAGGGTCTTGAAATGTTTCCACCAGCACCGGCTTGCCTGCTTTGTCCCATACAAGGCCTTCTTCAGCTTGAGCACTTTCCCGGCCATGTGAGGGAAAAGTTCAATCGGAGGATCGACATATATTGTCTCATCGATAGGGCTGTGTACACATGCGCCAGTGATGTCGAATGAATTGATGGTCCAGTTATTCTTTATGGAGAGAGTGAGTAGCATTCGCAGCGTAGTAAGAGAAGCGGTGGGAGCGAATGTGGATTGGACATCGATGCTGAGGCGTTGTTTAAAACCTCGCACGACGAAACGGGCCTTGAGTTTGTCGACTGAACCATCGGCCTTCCTTTTGATGTCAAAAACGAAGCGGGTGCCGATGGAATGTTTAGATGCTTTTTCTTCAATGTCGAATGTGTCAATGTCTTCAAGTTGTGTCCATTCAGTCAGGCACGCTGACTTCCATTGGGCCGCGTTGGGTGACGATAAGGCGTTTTTGAGAGTGGTCGGAATTTCCGAATCGGATATAGCCTGGATGCTGTCGATTTGAATGTCCTGATCTTCACAAATTTCTTTGGTTGGTTGCTTGCCAAGATGAAGTATTCTACAAATGCAATGTGTGTCAGGGAATTTTTTGGGAGTGGGAATCAAGGGTTTGTTTTGGAAGTCTAGAAAGTCTGCACACTCTGAGTTGAAGACCTTTTTTGTCTCTGGATCATAGAAGAACCAACCGCGTTCATCGTCTTGATAGTCAACGAGGTAACCAGTCCATCCCCGCTGGTCCAGCTTCCGACACCGTTCCTTTGGGATGTGGACGGTTGCCCTTGAACCAAATGGGTAAAATGAAGCAACATTTGGCTCACGGTTGGACCATAATTCGAGAGGGGTGGTGTTGCATTGAGTATTAGATAGGTGGTTTGTCAGGAAGCAAGCGCATTTATAAGCATAAGACCATAGAGATGACGGCAGGTGAGAATGAGTGAGTGTAGTGCGGGCAATGTCGCCAAGAGTCCGGTTGAGTCGTTCGGCTTCGCCATTTTGTTCGGGAGTATAAGGAGAGGTGAATATGATCTTGCAGCCAACGGATGCCAGGTAGTCGTGTAAGGTCTTCACAGTATATTCCTTCGCGTTGTCACATCAGATGAATTTTGATGAACATTGGAAATGAGAAGTGATGCGTTTGACAAGCGAGATGATAATTCCAGGGACCTCGGATCGCGATTTCATAGGGAAAACAAAAGAATATGTAGTGGCATGATCTCATATGTTAAGGAGGAAGCGGTTGCCTTTGATGTCTGGGTCCAACGGTCCAAGTACGTCTGTCACCAAGAGGTCGAGGCATTTGTCCTTGGGAATAACTTCGGGAAGTGAATGGCGGCGACGTTTGCTTTTGGGAGACTTGCAAGATTTGCATATTAAAAGGTGTCCATTGTTTGATGTTAAAATTGGGAACGAAACGCTTGAGGAAATCCTTACGACAGAGTCGGAGACGTGTCCCAGACGGCAATGCCAGTCGTAGGAAGGGGAAGAGATCTGAGACGGAGAATTAGCAGAAGCCGATTTGATGGAGTTGGGATATGTGGTGCCAAGACGCGGGGAAGATGAGCCAGGAACGGTTAATGTATTGAGCAACAACAGAAATGAAAGAGGACATTAAAAGAATGTCATTGTTCGGTAGGAAGGAAGGTTTGAAGCCTGAATCGATTAGCTGTCCTAGACTAAGAATCGTTCCTGTCATTTCCGGGCTGTACAGGACTCGCGGGATCATTAGGGAACCAACCCCATTGGTTATCTTCAGGTGACCACTGTGTGTTGCAGTCATGGAGCCATCAGAGGAAGCGAGATTGAGTTTGAGTGGTGGACGGAGACAAGAAAGGTTAGAAAAAAGATGGAAAGATCCGCTCACGTGGTGGGTCGCCCCAGAATCCAAAACCGTGCCTGCGCCTCCAGCACCCGTCGCATCCGCGGCCACCGTCAATCTAACTGCCGCATTAGAATTCGTGCCAATGGCTGGGTCGTTTGGGGGTGCTGTCTGGCGGGCAAAACCGGAAGCGGGGCGACTAGTCGTTGATGTGTCGGGAGGAGGCAGATTGGCATCTCTGCGGAGTGTCGGACAAGACAATCTCCAGTGTCCCGACACACCGCAATATGAGCATGGCTTGCCGATGAATATGTTGGGGTCGCTGGGGCCTCTGTTGCCCTTCCGAATGTTGTTGATTGCCGTGGCGATGTCCTCGATGGTTGGGTGGCCAGGTCTGCCCACATTGGGTTGACGATTGTTGTTGGTTGCCGATGTTGGAGGTTGTGACCCTGTTTGATTTTGTTGAAAAGGATTTCGACGAGGAGGTCGGATCGGATTTTGGTTTGAGGTTGCCCACTGATTTTGGTTGGGCCACGTTCGGAAGACGGATACATTTGGTGATGGTGATGAGTCGAAGCGAAGGGATTCGCCATAAGCGGATGTAATGATAGTTTGAATGTCGCGAGCTGTGACATCTGGTTTCTTGCCGAGTTGAAGAGATATGTTTTGAAAAAGTTGAGATCTAGACATCGACGAGGGTGCAGGAACAACCGCTTGAAGAATTAGACTTTCGACAAGGGGTGGCAGGCCTGCACCAACCTTGTGTAGACTGCTGAACATCTCAAATATCTTGTTGAAAAGGCCGGGGATTTGAGCGGGCTCGGTGGATGGACCGGAAACTCGCAGTTTGAGTAATTTGTCGAAGATTTCCATTTGACGAAAACGAAGCGTCCCTTGAAAATTGGTCTGTATGGCATCATAAGCTTCGGTGCCCTTGGTGTATTGATCGAAGAGGGATGCGAGTTCGTCGTGGATTGTGATTTGGATGAGGAATAGGAGGCAGGTATTTTCCTGGTCTGAAAGTTTGGAATAGTTGTCCGATTTGTCGAAGAAGTTGGCGTGTCCAAGAGTGAGAAGGATGATTTGAGTGAGACCTCGTTTCCATTTGTTGAAGTTGGAACCGTCGGCCGCAAGTGGTTCAACATCTGTTTTGTAGACACTCAGTTGTTGGAGAAATTTGGTTCTGGGGGTGATCTTGGATGCCGTCGATGTTGACATTGGATGAGGTTGGTCGAACAGGGTTGTTTGTCGAATAGGAAAAGAAGTCGCCGGGGGTTGTCGAGTGAGATATTGAGAGAAAATATGAGATAATGGGGATAGAAAAGGAGAAGGTGGTCGATTGTCGATGAGAGCAGAATTGGAAAGGTCGTTCCGAGGAAGGTCGGATGTATTCGGGTTGATATCCGATATACTGAAGTTGTTTAGTTCCTCAATGAGTAAGCCGACTTGTTCAGTTTGGTTATTGTCTATGGGGGTATGATATGGCGGGGTTGGGGGAGGCGATGGCGGAAGTGGAGGGAGTTTTGACAGTCAACAGAAGTCTAGTTTTCTTCGGCGGTCGAGGATAGAAATTGTTTTTCGGCGTCGAGTCGGAGGAGGCAGCGGTCCAAAAAGGATGTCTTTCGTCGATCGACGAGTATGTACCATAAAAGTCGAGATGTGAAGGCTAGTCGGTCGGTTGAGCAGTTGACTCTTAATCTGTAGTGGTTGAAATCCTTAGTGTTCATTGCTTCTCCCCGGCTCCTCCTCTTGTGTTCCTCATACTCCAATTGTGGAGTTTGCTCACCCGTACAACATCAGGCAAGTAACTGAAATTAGTAACTAGGGAGAGTTATCATCTACTGATGCACATTTTGGGCGATTTTTTGATGACTGCAAGAAAATATAATTACTGAATTTACACTACAGCTACATGTCCTATTACATTATACTAAGGAAGAAAGTCAACAGACCCAAAGTGATTGATGGCAATCAACCAGAAAAATGGAGTGGGAATCAAAATTCAAGAATGATCAAGCATATTTTACAACCGTAAGTCTTTCAGAGTCTGAGAAGAAATCTATCCCCTTCTTCATTCAGGCGGTTTCAGTGCCCATTTTTACCCGCAGCTTCCTTTTTCTATGAAGGTGTCACAGAATTCCAAGTCCTGACTGCTCCACATGGGCATTCAGCAACTTATCGATTCCCATCTTGCTTTTTCAAGCGTTTGCACTCCTCGACAAGCCATGTCGTCAACCCCAAGAGATGCTCAAACTTATTCACAGCCCTCTCCATTTCATCCGGGGTTCTTTGATGAATAAGAACTTCCGTTTGCTGGCTGCGTCCGTGGTGGAAGCCCAAGTGGGCTTCTACCTCGGCTGCTGAGGTGTGCATACTTTCGCAAAGTGCACACATGAAGCCGAAGGTGCGCAGCTCGTGCGAGAGCTCCTCATCTGACTTTTGTCGCATGTGCAACTTCTTGTCGAACCGGAGTCGGAGTGGTTGACCCGACTTTGGATCGGTCAGGCTCTCCACATGCTCTTTAAGCTCGTTGGGCCGGTAGTACGCATGTCGGAGCTGGCATACTTGGCATTCAACTGCGGGTTTCAAAGGAAGACAAGAAGAAGCAGGTATCAGTGCTAGATCATTCAACTGCGCTTGATTGAGGATTAAAGAAAGTAATTGTTACTGGGTTTCGGGTCCTGATGAGCCATCATATGAGCCTTCAGGTTCGAGAATCTCTTCAGTGTGACTGTATAAGTACAATCACCGAAGGGACATCTCATCATGGTCTCCACTATTGGCGACCGTCAAGATTGATCATTTGAGGCAGATGGTAATCAGATACATTTCCAAACACCGTGTTCGAAGCAATCATATAATTCTTTCTAATTTGGAATAAACATACCTCGAGTTTCTTCCTGCGTTAATGCAGGGTTTTTTTGATGGCTCTGGGATCCTTGGCGCGTTGTTTCAATGTTCATTTCATCGGTTTCACGCGCTGGAGTGAACCCTGGGGCCAGTTGGTTATTTGCCGGTCTATTGTAAGATAATCAAAAAAGTCATGAAAAACGTTTCAGCCTAAAATTGCTCAATCGTCAGGTAGGAGAAGTTAATGCGCACGACAGAGAGGAAGGTCCCGCTGTTGGGAATGCACTCTCATTCCATGTTGTATTGAGACCTGATATTCATGGCCAGTAGGAGAACAATGAGTAAAGACAGAATGGAATCAGAATGACGCGTCTTCAAATGATAGGATGATCATTGTGTCGCTTCTGAGCATTGAACATACGTCTCTGTCCTGATCTCCCCTGTGTTTCATGCTCCGAAAAGTGTGCAAGAATGGGGATGAGTGTGGATTCCCACTGCACAGGCTCCGGTCTGATACTGTCACAAGGAAAGCAAAGGAATCAAGCAACATATCTCAGCCTGAAATTTCTAAATCACCTAGGATTGGAGAGCGAGATTATACACACAAGTTATTTGACGGCCCCGCAGCCGCGGACGCGCTCTCCGTCGGATTGCAATTATCTGGAAAATTTGTTCCGACAACCGTAAGTAATCAGAGACATTTATAAAAGGATATATCAAAAAAGAACACAATCGAAATGACGCGTCTTGAGATGATGAGATAATCCAGTTAGTTTCTTTCGATTAAACATACCTTGCTGTCCCGGCTGCACAAATGTTTCGTTTGATGCTGTGAAATGTTGCAGCATTGGAGTAAGTGTAGACTGCCACTGGGCAGGCTGCGATCTGTCACAAGGCATAAATTGAATCAAGGCAAAACATTACAACGTAAAATTTCTACATTGTCCGGGATTGGAAAGGGAAGTTTTTACGCACAAGCTATTTGAGGGCCCCGCAACAGGTAGCGGTGCGCTCTGCGTCGAGTTGTAATGGTCTGTTCAAATTATACCAATGTTTCACGGTGATTAAGTTTTCAGAGACATTTACGAAACGTTGTAGGTCTACAGTACGGATGATTGGTAAATGTGGAAGAAACCTACAATATTGTTGAGCTACCTGAAATGGTTGAGGGCCAGGAGAGCTCTGGGGCTGGCTGATGCTGCAAAGTTTTCAAGACAAAATTTTCAATCAAACAAATGTCATATTTTGACATTCTTGAAAGAGGCAGCTTCAATACGCACAGAATGGTTGGGGGAAGTTGATGAGCTGAGGTTGACGCAAGAGGCGCCTGTTGAGCCTCGGGTGCCAAGCCGAGTAGGTTTGCTAATTCCCGCATGTCTCTGGCAAATTGAGTTCTGTTTTATTTTCATTTTCCGATAGAATAAGGGATTAAGGGAGAATTCTTGCTCAGCTTTGAAGAAGGTAGAACGAGGGAAGAATGAACTTACTGCGCCATGTGTTCTGCAGGGCTCAACATGATAATTTTCTAACGCGCTTATGGAATGCATATCGAGTCAAAAATAAAATTCGGAGTCAGTCGAGTGCAAGCAAGATTTGAAATGAAGGCGAATAGTAAACAGAATCGGTATTGGTGACGGTGAACGAAAGGAAGGCTAAAGGAATTTGTACTCCTAGGAGAAAGTGATTAGAATCTGCGGTGGAAGGCATGATGCCATGGATCTTTCTTGCAGGCTACAGCTGGCAGCAGATATGTATGCCGAACCGTAGGCTACCTGAACACCGAGGTGGAGCTAAGGTAAGAAAAAATAGAACGCTGGAATCTAAGGAATTACTGAAGCAGGACGGAGATCACTAGCTGAGATCGTTCATGGAAGGGATGGGAAGTGTAACTGGAATCGGATGATGAATGCCACTGATGAAATCATTCATGGTAATGCCGCTGAACTTACGATAGTACTAGATGAGATAACGACAAAGGGGGAAGGTGAAGATGTAGAAAACTGGTAGGAGAAGATTATAACGAACAATTCGCGAAAAGCTCTTGGATTCCTTGGGAGTATTGTAGAGCTAGGTGGTAAATGTGTACTGGGAGGTGGAAGGGAGTGGATGGTTGTGTGGGAGGAACAGATTTACTACGAATGGTGTCTGTCCTTTTAGAGAGGGAGTCGATGAGTACAAGCTCAGTCTGAACAATTTTCCTCCTTTTCTTAGCGCTCAATCCAAAGCGCTTCCTCTCCTTTTAATGGGTGGTGCCAATGAGACAGAGGATCTCATAGAGTCTGATCAACCATATTCACTTTGTTCCTTTTGTTTAGTGGCAATATGAATGTCCTTTCCTTTCATTTGGGTGGGTGGTGCTAAACAGACAGAGAATCTCATTCATCTTGATCAAGAGTTTCCTCACTAAGCCCCTTGATTATTTGTTTCAATCTGCCCTCTTTCCTTTCGTTTGCGTGGGTGGTGCTACTGCTAATGAGACAGAAAATCTCAAGGAGACTACTCAAGGTTCCTGAGTTGGGTAATTTTGTTGAGCTACAGTCCTACGTAGTTCTTTTCTACTGGCGTGATGTATTATAATGAGGAATAAATTCTCATGAAGCCTGTCAAGTTTCCTTTGATCATACTCAGCTACTGTATGCAGTTCCGGTGATTGAGCCGGACCATCTCATGGATCCTACTCATACACATGAGGCTAGAGAGACTTGCCCTATGCTACAGGTTTCTTTTGGTTCCGATTCCAGACCTATGCAGAAATAAATCTCCGCTGCACTGGCCGCGGCTTGTGCAATTGTCAGTTCGAGATTAGTGTGGACAAGACCTCCAAGTTGCACTATGCCGGTGTCGTTGATTGGACACAAAGTAGCAGGTTCTAAAATTACAAGGAACTGTGCCGACTGCACGACTGTTGCAATGTCGTGCAGCTCTATCTAGCTGGGGTTGGGATGCAATCGCAGAAGCACTCATGTGTCGAGACAGATAGAATCATTCGTCCAGCCTACCGGGCCGAATCTAAAGAAAAACAATACAGGAGGTTGCAGGATAATCATAGTTAACGTCCACTTATCCTTCTTTAAATGCATTTTTTATTTGGAGGGCACGGACTCCAACGGCTAGCCTCTGAGCAAGAAGAAGGAAAGCGCCCAACAGAGATGATTCTGAATTTTGAGGTTGTATGATTGCTGGCCCTGCCAGCATCAACAAACGTTCATGTCAGAGGAGTGCCCCGGCCCGGTGGAGCTGTCCGTTCGCCTCTCCCTTCAGATCCATGCGAGATGCAGCATTGGTGTAGACAATGGCCAGAGGACTGATCGGCACAATGGTTTCAAACGGTCACTCCCGATAGCGCCATGGCGGACGACGCAAAAAGGATGGAAAGCCATCGACAAGAGTCGTAATTCTCAGATGGAAAGTCAAGTCCATCGGTTCCCATTGCGTTTTCCATCATTGAAGCTAACGTTTGTGTCTCGCCTTTCACACTCTGAACTCTTTATTACTGCTAGGCGATGCTCAACACTATTCTACGTAGTGCAGAAGCTTTCGACCCACCCGGCCCAGGGTATGAGTTGCTGTTTTGGAAAATCCAGGTATGAGGACTTTCTGATCGCTTTGTAAACAAGGGGGAAAAAACCCTCGTCTTACTTGTCTAAGCCTCTCACGACGGGAAGAAGGGCCCGACAATTATAGTTACAAATTTAGCAAGAAGGCTGCAAACTGCCAAGCCAATTCTTCTAGTTTCTCCCAGAACCTGCAAATCTAAAGAAACGTACCAAGCTCCAATTCAAGACTCAAGTTATTTGAAAAGCAAAATACAACGCAGTCGGCACAGATTCTCAAGTGAAATGAATGGGTACGTTTTTCATCTTGGTTTGCTCCTCCGTCTGTATCATCCTTATAACTTTCGCACAACTTCGCTGATCTGATTGTGTACTTTGAATTATTAACTCCAACCAAGGACCACTGCTGACCAAGTCTTTTCTTTCTTTCGCCATAGTTTACCCGTCATTAGCATTGTAAGATACAAAGGACCAAGCCTACCAAACGCTCCGGTGGGTCGACGCTGATGAACCGTTGATTTTTCGCGATCTTCAATGCTGTAATCGAATGAAAATAGATGGAAGTCGCACAATTCCACAGGCTTCTTTTTTAATGATTGGTATACATGTTCCTCAAGCCAGAGATATTTTTTCACATTGTCGACTCCGGTACAACAACGTGTTGATGCTCATAAAAATTCATTTTCTTGATCAAGAATCTCACTCATCCCCAACGATCGAACTCGAATTTGCAATACGGATTTCTTTTCTCATCAGAATGGAGGGTCAGACTTTTAAAATGGTGTTTAATATACGTTTTTTTGATTCATACTGGAACATAGCGAGATCACTTACTGATTCGTACTTCTTTTCTATCTTGGCTTACTGGGTCCATGCCCCAGTGGGCGCCCAGAAAGACTTTGAATCGTTTCTCGATTCGTTAGCTATCGACCGCTCCGCAAGAGAATCGCCTGGATTTAATTTGAAAGAGAAATCACGACAAGCGAAGATCTGACGAGACTGGTCTTTGATTCTGGCGGCAAAGAAGAAAAGACGCGCTCATCAGGATAGACACATTAAGGTCTTCTTGAAGAACCTCAGGAGGTCAGCGGCGCTAGAATATACAATGTAAGCTCCACCACAAACCGTTTTCAGGAAGTGTTCAATACGTGTTTTTCTTCGCGCACGAACCTGATAGTTTCAAATAAATACGATCACGAACGATGTTGTTCTCGGTCAAAGAAGCTTGAAATCGCGCGGGATCAACTATTTTCGGGCGAAGTTGCGGACGCCATGGAGCTCCGAAGCCAAAATTATCGAATAGCGTTTGGTTTTCAATGACGTATGGTGGTTTTCTATCTCATCGGTGCTTTATCATATTTAACGTCTCTGTACCTCAGAGTATTACCAGTTCTACAAATGCGCACCAAATCCAACGAGCTTTACAAACCTTTTCATTATCCTTGTCGACGAGATGCAGAAAAACATCACCAGCGACGGATTGGGAAGACCAATTTAATTTTGGCCGTATTTACCTCAATCCCAGAAAGTTTAACTGAGCCTGAAGCTTTGAAAATGGCGGACGTGAGATTTCGTGGTAACGTTTAGCTGTAAAGCTACTGTAACGCTTCGTCAAATATCCATCCTAGGCTAAACGCAGGCGCGGGTGGTTCCACCGCTTCATCTCACTTGCTAGGAGAACTGATTTCACAATCCTCATCTCACAGCCCGAATTCTTGGTGCGTCAAGTAGCCTCAACACAGGGTAAGATGGTTTTAGCGTATCACATCATTTCAAAAGAGATAATAAAGGCTGAACAAGCCCTTCTCCCACTGCTTGGATTTTTAATCCCCAAAACTTTCAAGGAGAAACTAGTGGGTCCCGAAGACAAGACGGAGGTCACCCAAGACTCTGGTGTCTGGGTGGGGAAGAGAGTCCCAAAAGGTGAACTCGAGTGTCCGGTGTAGCCATCCCGACCCTTGCCGGTTAGTACTCGAGGCTCAAGCCCGGCTGGAGTAGACGGCACAGCTGAGAGCGCTCCCCGGAGCAATCATTCTGATCATCTTTGTCCGCTCTGGCCTAGCAAGGAGGTCCCTTAGTAACAGTTTTGGAGTCTGAGCCGCAGCCCGCAGCCCAGCCGATGAACAGATGTTTCTTGGTCCCTTCGTTTCTGGGTACGGGGGACGGATGCTCTCGGGGCACCTCGCGATTGGGGAGGCAAGCCTCAGGAGCTTCCACGGCACCGCGTCAGCCTGGCTATACCAGGCCCCCTGATCGTGGGGCTTGGGTTAGGTTAGGGTTTAACTTAGCGGTAGCGGCTTGATCGCCAACTTAACACAAGCCCCTCGATCGGAGGGCCTGGTATATCAAGGCTGACGCAAAGCGCCCCTCATAAAGCGAGCCTCCTATGGAGGCATGACGGGGGCTCTCCCCCCCGCTCCCCGTCTTCAATCGGCAGGGTTAGTTTAGTCATGTTTGCGGGGTCCACGGGGACACTCAGCCGACGCCGACTACCCGGCGGGTCTGGCCGGCAAGAAAAGCAAAGGTTAAGGGGCTATAAGGCCCATGATGAATTTATGTTCAAAATCCACATAATACATTTCAGAAATGCTCCCCCAATAGTCATGGCTCTACTACATAATCTACTAAGATTGATACACAAATAATATGTGAGAATAGGGACTGCAAATTGGTTGAGAATCAAACTCTCAATATAGCTAGTACCCAACACAAGCATCTCCATGAATGCGGGTAAGTACAAATGATATTTTTTGATGTGGGGGGGCAGATAACTCCATAAACCTGGATGACTGCATACATCAGATTGACATGGAAAGAGGAA